CCTTCCTTCTCTCTCTCTCTCTCTCTCTCTCTCTCTCTCTCTCTCTCGGAGTTCCGTTCATGTCTGGTCCGGAGGAGGCTTGGATGCAGACCACGTGAGCTGCAGTGCATGGATCATAAATGCAGCAAGCCGAGGGCATCTGCTGGTTAATAATGAACACAGTGGTGATGCCTAATCATGGAGCCTGTTCTTCTTGCAGGGGTTCTTAGATAACAAGGACAAGTATCATTATTTCTGATTACGATGGTCGAGGAGGAGTACCTCGCATTCCTGTGATGGGTTGGCAAATGGACGGAGTTCTCGCAGACGTGTGTTTGATGAGTCTTTCGACAAGCAAACAATAACAATATTGCAAGTCAATGTCTTTAGCTGGAGGAAACTGTCTGGATTGCATGTGAGTGTTTGACATATTAAGAATACTTAGCAATGACCTATTCATGAAATCATATGTTTCATATGCCATCGTATATCTCATATCTCATGTACCATTTATACTATCATCAAGATTACTCTTGGGAGCACACAAGATGTAGCAGACAGTGGTCTTCTTTCTATTCATCTGTTTTGCACATGTTTCTTAGTGTGAAATAACTAGTTTGAGCTTGATAATTTGCAAGGATGCCTGCTAGAAAATTTTAGGGTTTCCCTATCATTTGGATGGATCTCATATATGCATTATGTTCAGAAAATAGACAAATGCAATGAGCAAGAAGAAACAAAGTTTAGTAGATCAGAAGAGAAGCTTCTAAACACAAGCTTTATCCTCCAAGCTTTCGTTTGCCCTTTCAGGTTGTCCAAAAAGGAAAATGAATCCATCCTGTTTCCATTGACCAGGTGGAAAAGTGAAGCCAGATCAGAAGAACTGATGAGAAGATGGCCAAAACCATCCTGAACTTTCTCTGCGATCTAAAAGCCTACAAACATATGGTTTGTGATAATAAACAAAGCAAGTACACACATGATAATGCTAGTTCTGGATTCCTCCAGTTCATGACCCACGAGGTCTCAAACCCAAGGAAGCTGATGACTGCCACCACCCTTCAAATGCTTGGAGGGCATCAGTCAGCTCACCAGAGTCCTTCAGATCCATAATGCACAGCCCTTAAAAACAAGGGATCCCACTTCTGAATGATTCGAGTGTGGGTCTGTCACACACAGTCACACAGATGCATGCCCTTCCCCAGCGACTCTTGTTTGGTTGCTCATTGATATCTTCTATAGGGTGAGGATGCCACAAGACAAACAAAAGGCAGGCCACAGTGCACACCCACCAGCAGATCTATGTATACTTTAGCAAGTGGGGGGCAGATGAGATGGCCTTGATTGGATGTCCTTCACTGTGTGGCAAAATCCAACCACCCACAAGATGGTGATTTGTATGGATTCCGGTGCCTTTCAGAAGCTGCTGTCTTGGATCCTCGGTGGGGGATCTTGGCATGGACTGTAAAGTTTGAACAGGAGATGCACAGTCATGTTTGCCTCTTAAAAAGTGCCAGTGGAGGGAGTTGAATGTGCTGCATGGGCTTTGTGGAGATTAGAATAGTTAATAATGAATGCCCATAAGCCATGAATGAGATCTGGGTGAATACTTTACACTTAACAAGATGAATGAATTGTTGCTAGAATATGGTTCCATATCATTGCTTTATCATGGGAGCAAGGGAATAATAAAACTCACAACATATAATCTAACCGAGAAACTAATTTTATATATATCCTATTAAATTTAAGTTTCACACACACACACACACACACAAATATATATATATATATATATATATATATATATATATATATATATATATATATATATATATATATATATATATATATATATATAATCTAAAGCAATTACATATATATATATGTCATAGAAAATGTGCATTATAGTAACTATAGGGTTTAGTGTTTCTTGAGATCTAATTATAAAGCATGTTTGGTAAATTTATTTAGGTTTATAATTTCTTGGGCAATTTTTTGAAAAAAGTTCCTTATTATGAAAATTTTCAGTTAGCATCTTTTTTCAAAAAATTTTATTAGAGCTTTGCTTTTCTCTGAAAGGATAATTTTATTTTTGCCTCTACCCTTTACCACCATGCTACCATCGCACGCTACACTCCCCTGCCTTGCGTCTTCTCTTCTCGTTTTCTCTATCATCATTGATATTCTTTTCCCTAGCTCTCTCCATCAAGGTTGATGATCATAAGGGGAGCGAGGCTATGTATGGAGCACCCTTACCCTTACCCGTAGCGTCGATCGTTAAGGTGACAATGAGGATAATAGGGATGGTGAGACAAGGAAAATGAGCGAATAGGGTAGGATCAGTGGGGTGGAGGTAATCGTGGGCGAAAGCAAAGATGAGAGTAGTGGGATGGAAGCACAAATATACAAGGTGGAGATGGAGGCAGCGAAGTGACAACTGATGGCACGGGATAATTTTTTTTATAAAAAAAACACCTTGTGAAAATTTTTGAAAAAAAGGAAACTAGTTGGGAATATCTCAAAATAAAGAAACTATTCTAGAAAATTATCATTTCTTATTTGTTAATTATAAGTTTGAAGCTTGAGCTAAGAAGCATATATTAAATGTGAGGAGTATTATTATAATCTTAAAGGTTGAAGAGGCATATATATTAGCTAAAATATATTAAAGACCGATGCTTATATAATAAGTAATGCATAATACTTTTTTAAGAAAAAATTATTTAACATAAATAAATATTTTTAAATTCATGATTAGAAAGATGTGGCCCATGACAAATATGGTTAGAAGTTGGTGGGTCTTACTTGTTAGGTAAAATGTATGGTATTTTAGGTAGATTTGTAGGGCATGGGATAGCAAGTAAAGGGATAGATTTATTGAACGGTTGAAAGGTCCATTTTAGGTCTTATGATTTTGGTCATAGATCATTTAAATCTTTATTATTTACTTGTATATAAAATAACTCCTATATTTTTAAAAGCGTAGCATATAAGTTACTCTCGTCAAGTTTAAGTTAACAGATGTTAAGTCTGCTTACATGACATCCTTGCTAGTCATAAGTGCCCTGCAAGCCAATCACGTGAGTGATAGCACGTGTGACATGATACACATTCTTTTTGCTTATTATATTTTGATATTTTATCACTTTATATTGCTTGTTACAAATATACATATATATTGTGATGTTCATGGATCTATGCAATGAGAACATGATCGTGATAATAAGATCGATTCACCTTTAAACACTAACCCTAAATAATCCTGGTCATAGATTACTCGAAAAGAATATCGAGATAACTAGACAGACTAGTATGCTGTATACTTATCCATATGATGGAGGTAGCTGGTTTCATAGATTCTCGTGTGGGGACACTAAAGAAAACAGTGTAGGTGTTCATTAGAGAATGAGTTCACTTATTAATCTGCTCACAAAATACTGGATGGTTGATAATACTTTATTGTTAGACAGCAATTTCGTAGTCCTAGTAGTGTATCTGGTCCTTAGACTTGAGACACTAAGGATGCCCTATATGAGTACTCCACTCTTTGATACCAAACTTGTAGGTTTGAAAGTTTTAAATCAAGTACAACTGGTTATTAAGAGTGGCAACCAATCTTACGAGGGTTATTGAGTGTCAATAGAGGATCATCCGCTCTTGTTATCATAAGAGGAATATCCTGTGTATTCTTACTCAGACAAATCCTTGGCCAAGGTCATTCGGATTGAGAGAAAAAGAGTTATTCGGGAGAATCTGATTATAGCGAGACTCGAGGAGAAACCATATGAGTCTAACAACACCATGCCCGGTATATGATCTTTGAAATATTAGATGGTTGAAGGACTATAGGTACATGATAATTGAGGACAGATAGGTACAAAAGATTATATTCCCCTATTACATCTGATACTACAGCGTAGTGGCCTAGTGCGGTCGTAATCGATAAGTCAAGTGAATTATTATAGAGATAATAATTCTTCACTGAGCTAGAAGGAGTTCTAATAGGTATGACTCACGGCCAGCTCGATATTGGGGCTATAGAGTCACATACATATGGTAGGTGTTACGACGAGTATAGGTTCTGATATAAGATATTCGTTAAAGCCCCTATCTTATTGGATATCTAATAAACCATTGGATTATTAGATCCCAATGATGAGATCCAATAAAATCTAATAAGAAATTATTGGGTAAAGACCCACTAATCTAAGAGACTTGAGTAATTGGATAGAGATCTAGTATCCAATATAGCATGATCCATTTGGGTTAACTATGGACCTCTATAAATATGAGAGAATTAAAAGCTCATAGGTTTGGGCTTCTTGGTGGTCATCTCTTATTCTCCTCTCTCGTTCTCCTTCTCAAATAGTAAGCGTAGAGATTTAAGGAGCATCGTCGTAGCCCTACTATATGGATCACCGCTAGAGAGGCGGACGCTTGACCTTCTTCATCCTCTCTAACAAATCTATAGGGATTCAGGAATATACGATCTCTCTAGGTAACACAACTATCTGCTAGTCATAGGTGCCCAACAAGCCAATCACGTGAGTGATGACACATGTGACTTGACACGAAATCTTTTTGCTTATTATATTTTGACATTTATCATTTTATATTGACTATTGCATATATACATGTATATATTGTGATGTCCTTGGATCTATGTAATGGAAATCGGATCGTGATGAGATCACGATAATGAGACCGATTCACCTTTAAATATAGATCCTAAATAATCCCGGTCATATGTTACTCGAGAGGGACATCGAGATAATCGGACAGATTGGTGTGCTGTATACCCATCCATATGATGGATACAGCTAGTCTCATAGCTGCTTGTGTGGGGACACTATAGATATAGTACAGGTACTTATTGGAGAATAAGTTCACTAATTGATCCGCTTATGGAATGATGGATAGTTGATGATGCCTTATTGTTATACAGCGATTTCGTAGTCCCAGTGGTGTATCTGGTCCTTAGACTTGAGACACCAAGGATATCCTGTATGAGTTCTCCATTCTTTGATACCAGACTTATAGGTTTAGATAGCTCAGATCTAGTACAACCGGTCATTAGGAGTGACAGTCAATATTACGAGGGCTATTGAGTGCCAATAGAGGATCATCTGTTAGGATCAATAGCGGCATTAAGAGGGGGGTGAATTAGTGTAGTGAAAAACTTTCGTGATTTAAGAAAAATGTTCATTTCGAATAAAACTGATTCTGACGAAAATGGTTTCGATTTAATATGTTTCGGAGAGAAGTTGAATTTGAAAGTTTTTGTAAAAGTACAAGAGAAGATTAAGGAGGTTTGCAGTAATGTAAATTGTATAAATGAAAAGTAAACCAGAATTTAGAGTGGTTCGGTCAATATGACCTACATCCACTTTCAGATTCCTCCCCCGACGAGGTCACCGGCGTCCACTAAAGGTCTTCCTTCAATAGGTGAAGACCGAACACATCTTTACAACGCTTTCTCCTTTTTTCGGGTTTAGGAGATAACCCTTATAAGTCTCACTCCTCTTTCTTGGATGGTTATAAGGCTAAGAGATGAAGGAGGAGAACTCTAACTTTTACAACACTTTTATGACTCAAGAATTTAAGATTAAGCCAATGCTTTCGTGCCCTTTCATGTAGAAAATGGTGGGGTTTTTATAGACACCAATAACTTCAAAATTGGAGCTAAAAAGTGTCACATCCTCAGAATCCAAGGTATTTACGGTACCACCGTCGTTATTGGGCAGTACTACCGTCGTTGATATGATACTAGGCGGTACCACCGCTAGCAGCATTCATTGCCATTGGTACCATCGCCCAGATATCCTGGGGGGCACTGCTTTCTAAGCGGTGCCACCATCGGCCAAGAATTTAGGGGCTAAATTAGTTGATCAATTCGACCCAATTCAGCCTTGTTAAGGGCCTAGTTGGCCCCTAATTAAGTTAGCGGGATTACCTCTCAATCCTAACTTAATTTACGCTCTAACTATGATAACTAAGACATAATTACAGTGCTTTTTGTTTCGGTGCGTCAATTGCTCTTCTAGCGAGCTTCCGGCGTACTTTCGACGAACATCCGACGAACTCTCGGCAATGTTCCAGTGGACGCCCGACAAGCTTTTGGACTTTACAATGATCTTCTTGGCGAGTTCTGACGAGCTTCTTTGGTAAGCTCCTGGACTTCTCGGTTGGTTTCGGTAGAACTTCCGACGAACTCTCGAACTCCCGATGAGATCTCGATCTTGACTCTGGCACAACACCTGCTTTATGTCTTACTGCTATCATAGTTAATCCTGCACACTTTTCTTAACATATATATTAGATCAAACAAATTACAATTGACTTCATCATCAAAATCTGAGATTCAACATCATTCACTCTCGGTGTCATGAGAAGAATATCTCATGTGTTCTTGCTCAGACAAATCCCTGGCCAGGGTCATTTGGATTGAGAGAGAAAGAGTTCTCCGGGAGAATCCGATTAGAGCGAGACTCGAGTAGAAACCATATGGGTCTAACAGCACCATGCCCGATATACGATTTTTGAGATATTAGATGGATGAGGGACTATAGGTACACGATAATTGAGGATAAACAGGTCCAATAGATTGGATTCCCCTGTATCATCTAGGACTACGATGTTATGGCCTAGTACATCCGTAGTTGATAAGTCGAGTGAATTATTATGGAGATAATAATTCACTAAGCCAGAAGAAGTTCTGACAGGTATGACTCACGACCAACTCGATATTAGGCCTAGAGGGTCACACACATATGGTATGCACTACGATGAGTAGAGGTACGGATATGAGATATCCACCGGAGCCCATGTCTTATTGGATATCCAATAAGCCCCTGAATTATTGGATCCTATGGATGAGATCGAATAAGAGCCCATGAGAGATTATTAAATAGAGATTCACTAATCTAAGAGGCTTGGGTAGTTGAATGCAGATCCAATACCCAATAGGGGAGGATCTATTAGAGTTTAACATGAGACCTCTATAAATATGAGGGATTTAGTAGTTCATAGGCTCTCCTTTGCTTGTCTCTCGTATTCTCCTTCCCCTTTCCACCTCAGAGCAAGCCTGGAGTTTTGAGGAGTGTCGTCGCAACCCTACTATGTGGATCACCGCTAGAGAGGAGGGCGCTTGACCTCCTTCACCCTCTCCTAGAGATCTGTAAAGATTCAGGGATATACGATTTCCCTATGTAATACAATCTGTTCTATACGTAGTTTTAAATTTTATAGATTTTTGTGCATCAATCTTCGTACGACAACAAACATATATTTGGGAATTTGGGGATTTTGTTTTTCTGTTCTTCCGCTGCGCATGTGATGTCTTCCCCCCAAAGATTTCCCAACACTATCTAACACGTGGTTTTTTGTGTCACGGGTTTTGTGCACTAATCTTCGCATGACGATAAACACCTTTTAGGAAATTTAAGAATTTTATTTTCTATTCTTCAATTGGGTATGTGATGTCGCCCCCAGATTTTCCTATAGTGGTATCAAAGCCAGGTTGTTTGTGTAAAAGATTGGTTTTGAATTGTGTATGTTGTGTTTTAGAAAAGTTTTTTACGTCAAATCCTTAAAGCAAAAGTGAGAAAGCCTTCCTGTCATCTGCGTGCAGCCGTTTGCGTGCAACAATTATTGTTGCATGTAGTTGCAGCCGTAGGCGATCGCCCACCCGTAGGTTTTGCACACCAATCTTCACACAACAATGAACACATTTTGAAAAATTTAGGATTTTTTTTTCTATTCTTTCGCCACCGTATGTGATATCACCCATATATTTTCCTATAATCTTGACTCACAATAAATCATTAATATAATAATACATGTAATTTAAGTTTTAAAAAAGGTTAAGTTCCATTTTAGCCACTGTGGTTTTGACCATGGATCACTTAAGCTTTTATAGTTTATTTGTATATAAAATAACTCATATATTTTTAAAAATATAATATGTAAGCCCCTCCTATTAAGTTTTAGTTAACTGATATTAGAGTTTGCTTACATGACATATTGACTCATAATAAATAATTAATATAATGACACATATTATTTAAGTTTTAGAAAAAAAACTGAGACCAACATCAATGGCGAGAGGAGGCATCATTGTGGAAGCGACCATTAGCAGCAGCACCGAGTTGTTGTTGCCTAGTAGGGCGTTGTATGCATGTAGCCTCTTTCACGATAACGACAAGCTCAAGAGCTTCTAGTCCTATCTTAGGTGGATGTACATCGACCAATTCAACGCTAAGCAAGTAGTGGTCCTCCTAGGCGTGTTCATCCCCATCACCTCCTACTTCATCCACTCTTGTGTCCCCACCCACCGCGCCTATGACATGGTGATCCAGCTCTCCCTCACCTCCGCCTCCGGTCTCTCCTACCTTTGTCTCTCCGCTTTTATTCATTACTACGGCCTTTACTGTTTCCTCTTCCTCGACAAGATGAATCTTAACATTTTTTTAAACTTAAATTATATGTATCATTATATTAATTATTTTTTATGAGTCAACATATAGTAGACTTGAACGTTTGTTGATTTAGACTTGACGAGAGTGGCTTATATGTTATATTTTTTAAAATATAAATATTATTTTAGACACGAGTAAACCATAAGGGCTTAAATGGTTCATAACCAAAACGATAAGGACTAAAATATATCTTAATTTTTTAAAAAATTTAAATTACATGTATCATTATATTATTGATACGTAAGTAAACTATAACGTGTATTAACCGATAAAAAAAGTTATATGTTATATTTTTTAAAATATATAGATTATTTTAAAATGACGTAAATCATAAAGCTTAACTAATCCATAATCAAAACCTCGAGGCCAAAGTGTACATTTAACCCTTTATTGAATCATTGTTGCGGCTCTTTGAACGTTAAGCGCTTTAATACGAGACGGAAACCCTTCACTCGGTCATAAACATGATCCGGCGGAACAACGTACCGCGTTCGACATTGCGATCGAAGCCTCCAAATAAACGCATCCGGAGAAGAAGTAGCACACGGCTGCTGGCGACTCCAACCTTGATCGGATCGGGGATGGATCCAGCCGTCCATTGACCCTTCAAGCCATGATCCGACGGCGTTCGATCGCCGGCTATCACGGGCACCGAATCCCCTTCGCCGATTCCGTTACCCTCATTCTTGATGCCGGCGCAAGCCGCGATCCCGGCTGTCTAATCCTTCGCCGATGGTGGAGAAGCCCATGATGTGGAGCAGCAGTCTGACTACGGAGGGCTCGTCGTTCTCCGCCGGCGACGCCGACCGGTCACAGAAAATCCACGTCACTTCTCACCCGTAGCCGGCAAAAACAAAAGTACTATTTTGTTCAATCATTCTTCGTTTATTTTCTATCTTTCTAGTTTGAATCAGTTCCGATTTTGATTGATTTTGGAATGCGTGATGATTAGGTATGCTGGGGACGGTCAAAAAGTGCTTAATAGATGCGGAAGAAAATGAGACGACAGAGAAGGCTGATAATCTGACAAGAAACACATGGCAGCATGTAAGTAGTACGATCTTCAGAACAATTCTTGCCTAAAGGTTTCTTTTTTCTTCTCGAATGACATTTCTGGATGGTATTGACCCCAGTTATTTTGGCAGAGGGTTAGGGAACGATGGAGATTGTGGAACTTGCTATTATGCCTTATTTTGTTGATTATGGTGACCTGGTAGTGGTAGGTTGCAGGGATGAGCATTGATCTGTACATATACATCAAGTTCTTCGTGGTACTTCTTTGCCCTTTTTTCTTTAACAAACCCATAAAATAGGTAGAAAGAAGAACTATAATAAAATTGCCGATGGATCTTCATATCTGCTTTAACGAGACTGTACAATCTTCGTATTTTCTAGTTCTCTTAGAGTTTTAGATTATTATAATTGTCATCTTTGGTGTAGTTTCAACTTTCAAGGATGTTACGTCGAATTGGATAACATTTTGCCTCTAGTTGAAGGATAAGATAGGAAAAGTATCTATGCGATTCTAGTCAGTGTTAACCTTTTTTTGCTTATAACATTAAACTAAATTCTACATATCTAGAATAAGATGTGTCGAAGGAGATTTGTTACTGAAAAAATTTCTTCGTTTGTTCATTTGTTCTTTAATATCTTTAATTGTTCATTGCTTCACCAGTTTTCTCTTAAGTACGCTCCTGTTTCCATCTTGTAATTTCTTTTTACTGAACCAAGAGCCCCAAATTGAGGTGAACAGAAAAAAAAAAAAAGGCAGAATAATATGAGAGTCTCTGTGCATAAACTTGGATATTTGCCTTTCTATGCTGTTGTATCTGCAAATATGAATGGCCTAATATCAGGATATCCATGTAAACCCCTTTTTATTCTATGATACCAGATTAAGTTAGGAAATCTTTTGAAAGAAAGTAATATTTTTTTTCTTCTTAGTTCTACTTGGCAATTCTGTTTAGGTCATCATGTCCTTTCTTCTATTACTCCCAACTTGTTTTCCTTATAGTTGGCATTTTTTCATCATTGGCACCTTATAACACATGCAACTCATGATCAATGGCATCATATTTGATGTCTGCTAAATTAAAAATCATGGAAATTGTGGTACTCATATAGAGTATGACGCATGACAAGGCATGAGAGTGGGACTTCATCACAAGTATTGAAGCCCGTGATGAGGATTCAAGAAGCTTCTACTAAAATAGTCATGATGACTTGATGGTTATCATTGTAAACTCAGTGTATTTCACTGCATTGCTTGGCTCAGTAAGAAATTAAATCCTTTGGCTTCTATTATAACAAATAGTCAGAGTATGCGGTTACTGGACTAGAAATAGGTGATTGTTTAACAATACCTTTTTAAAATGATAACCTTTGTGCTTAGATTAGCTTATATAGCAATCCAAACCATTGTAATTGTGGACCAACACCTTAACATCACACTTTTTAAATTATCAAATGCTCTCTGTTCTTTCCTGTTGAGGTTCTTGTTATGTCCTTTAATTTATGCCATCTCAGCAATAATATATTATCTAATCCAACATACATCACATAAACAAATCATAATATGTTCTCTAGCCCAACACTAAAATTTTTAATCAGCCCTAAAATTTATCTCCAATTCCCATTCCTTTATGCTTACATGCAATCTTGATCCCCAAAAGAAAAGTTTGTTTTTTCTTTTTCCAGTTGCGTACTTAGCACGTTTGGCTTGGCCAACTATATTCAAATGACATAATATCATACCTTGGCTGATCTGAAGCTCCACCCTCGTGCAAAACAGGGAGCTGTTTCTAGTTGATCGTTATGTTGGGTACATGAAGGCAGCCATATTGTGTAGCATCTATGTGTTTCTGCAGATAAAGTACTTTTGGAATTTCTAGAATGTTGAACAGATACTGATAGCTATGTGTTTGAAACATTTCTGCAGCTATTGCAGTTTATTGGTTTACAGTGTGGCAAATCACAGATGAAGTGCATATAATCGGTATTAGATTTTCTGACAATCATGCTTGTAGCTTCCTATTACCTGCTTACAAGTTTCATGTGCTTGATTATATTCTCAGCCTTATACTTTGGGTCCATTTCCAGGACAAATTCAGATAGTTTTCAACATTGAAAGATCATAGGAGCCTTCTTTTTGCTCGTCAATGGCTGCAACAACCCTTGTGATTAGATGGCTGAGAGCCTGACAATGGAGTTTATGTTGGAAGAAAATGGTGAGTTATATAAGATCTTGAAGTGGTAAATATATATATATATGGAGTCATCCTATGGCGTATTATTAGATTCCCATGAAACTCTGATTTGTCCGTTGAAGTTTAATTGATAGCCTTAAGAACTTGGAGACTATCTTAAGTTTGATAACATAGAATATTAAGGGGGTTATAAAATATGTTGCCCTACAAGTTGATTGCTTTAGCCCCCATTACAGTTTGTGCTATTCAAGGAATTTTTTTTTCCAGTCGTAACTATAGGAACTATTTTTCATATTGATACTTTGTAAACTTTTACAATTATTTAGTGATATTTCAGTAACTTGCATTGTTGCATAGATTTTCACTGGATCAGATATACATTTGCATAGATATGTATGTATATTTAGGCAATCTGAGATCAAATTTTGGGGTCATGTGTTGCTAGCATATGATTTGTGGACAATATCAGTATTATAAGCATTATATTGGTTTAGTTACCACTTGTCATTAGTTATATCCTCTATCAAATTATAGTATTCATTGTTTGTTTTCTGTTATACATTTCTTTTTGGATCGTTGCTTAACAACATAGCATATATTCTAAGTGATGGAATCTACTTGTACTTTTTATGCGTTGTGTGTTGTTTTTGGTATAAACTCATCTCCTTCTTAATCCAGTGAAAACAGGGCCAAGTTTTGTGGATACTGCTCTGGGAAGAATTATTCAGGGAACCAAAGTTGTGGCAGAAGATGATTGTGAGAAGATTTTTTTCATGAACTTTTGGTTCTATCCTGATCAGAAACTTAGAAAATGGCTGGTCCTATTAGCGAATTCTTTGCCTCGACTGCAAACTTGCATTTTTGCAGTGTAATAATCTTTCTTATAAAGTTTCTGATTAGGATAAAGTTGTAATCTTTCTTATAAACCCTAAACCCTATAAAGTTGGAAATTAAACTGCATGGTCTATGTGCAACAATACAATCTTCATCGAACAAAATGTTGCAATAAGTATCGAGCTTATGTTGCAAATGCATGTAATATATAAGTATATTCTCATATATGTATATGCTTAGTTGGAGCACAGATGTGCTTTACCATTTATTGGACTTTGAATATTAAAAGGAGGAAAAAGAAAAGTACTACAATGCAATATAGGAAAGTCTTGTTAAAGCCAATCTTCCTGCTTGGTCCATGTGTAAATGACTGATACTGATGCTACAATGTGCCCTGATATTTATTTTATAGGGTGGAGAAATTTTGCGTGTGCAAAGAGATATGTTATATTATTCAGAAGACTGCAGGTTAATGTACTGAACTGGTACAATCAATTTCAAGGATCTGTAAGTTTTTTCTTGGATCACTCAAAATCTGTCTTTTCTTTAGTTGCTTTTATCTTTTATTTCATACTGTTTTGATCCAAATAATGAAGGTTTGGATTGTCACAGCTACTCCCTTGAACCAGACACCATCTGTTGGTTCGCAACCGATGTGCTCCTGAGCCATCGAAGAGTAGCCAAAACAATGTGCAAGCCAAAGTTGGAGTAATGCTACTTGTCCCATCATTTAGGTCACATTTGTCTTCAACGTGAGTTGCTTCCCCCCTCTCCATCTTGTGCGCTGTTCTTTCTTGTTGCTTTCCACATCTCATGTCACATTGTCCATATTCCATTCACCTTTTATGCTGGCGGACCAGGTTCTATTGATGGCCACAGAGCTGACTGGGGACTGTTTGAGACTCGCACAACACAGTGACATTCTTCTTCTTTTATTTGACTTGGTTGCTCCCACCTTGAATGAAGCAGGTGTTGGTGAAGTGTTATTTGTGACAAAGATCCAATGCCAAAGAGTTGACCTCACAGCTACGCGTTCTTTTGGAGGCCCCCGGGCTACCGAACCCTCATCAAGGATCCTATTTGGTCATTCTGGTGAGATCTTCTTAATTGCTACCAAACTACCAATTTACAACAATTTATTGTGTTTCTTTTTGTTAAAAAAATTATATCCTTTGTTTTCCTGGTTGGTACTTCAGTTTTCACAGACGTGTGGGTCACAATGATTAGGACACCATTATCTATCCTGCTAAATTCATAGAAGATTTAAACCTCAAGGAAAACCACTTGGAAGTTTCTTTAATCTATCTTATCTGATTAGGGCACAGTTTTTTAATGTCTCCTATAATGATAACAAATGGAAATAACTGGATGACATCCATCGAAAAACCAATCTTGGGTTGACCTACTTGTTCCATTAGGTTTATTGGTTGCAATATAAAACTGAAGTCTATCTGATGCCTATATGCACCTGATATGGTTGCCACAACTTGAGTAACTGAAACTTTTGATATGTTGTTGTTCAGGCTGACGCTAGACTACTCTTGAATGGAATTAGGGTTTTGATGGACATGAATAATATGGCATTACCAGACACAATTAGACTTCACTTTTATTTCTTTATAGGTCAGATCTATCTTTTCATGCATTACTTTTCCTGCAACTAGAAATAGGGACTCGTTGAAGCAAAATTAACTTTAACTTTACTGGATCTAGGGTTTCAGACAACTATGTTTTTCTTTATATGGAGCAAAAGGAGACATCTGATACTGTCTGTCCTTACCTAAACATAGACATCAATGTAGGGTGGATGGTCAAGCCAGCCTGTGTTGATGTTGGACTGCAGATTGAAACAGTATGGTGTCAAAATAAGATCCCACCCATGCTAACCTTTCTCTTGCAAAACCTTTTCCTCTCCGATAGGTCACCATCAAGCCTGAAGTAGAGTGGAAGAGGTCCCACCCATCATTCATCATGGAAGGGATATATTAATTTATATATCAGGAACACTCTTCCCCATGGAGATGGTACTGTGAGATTAATTTAGGAGATTACCAGCGCTCAATCACTGCTGCATTGCCAAAAGAAACCTCACTTTCTCCTATGACAGAGACTGTCACATGCATGCATGCAGGGGAGCCACAGTAACCACCTTATCTTACTGTCAAACCAAAAGGTCCATGTTCTGAAGTAATAATCTCCAAGTTCTCATCAATTATAGAGTTTCTTTGTTCAAGCACTTAATTACAAGCTCATCTTGGAATATATATATATATATATCATACAGCTAACATATGCTATGCATATCATCTGGGTGATAGCACATTAGCTGGGTGACATCTGTTTTGTTTTCTGTAGTTAGAGATTGAGGATTTGCAATATTATCTTATATGTTTTTGTACTTGAAACAGGACTTATTTATTAATGAATTGAGTGTTTAGGATTTCATGCACTAAGTTTAGAACATGTCAGTTGTTTTTACTGATAATAACTTTAACTATTGATCAAAGGGTCTTGGGATCATATTCAACCAATTACCCTTTGACCAAAAAAAACTATGTAATGAAATAAAGCTAGCTTTATCGAATACAAGCTATGTAATGATATCACTGTTAGGCCATGTCAATCACAGAGATGATATCTTTTCTTACCAGGCATGCTAAATACAAGCAGTTCCATCATGGTGGACGAGCAGCGTTCCATGGGTCTTGGAATAGAAGAGCAGTATTGGTGTGCCATCCTTACCAGAACAGGCTTGGGTACTGCATCTAAGATTAGATTGAGCTCAACCAACAAGAGATCCATCCACTCAAGAAGCCCTTCTTAGTTCAACACAAAAAATTTGGGAATGATTGGCCTGTCATCTCAACATGGACACTTGTACAGGAAATGCCATAAAGCTCCCTTGTCCCAAGTTAGGCAAATGTTCATATTCCCAAGAAAGGTGACACCACCGAGTCATGTGTAAGTTCTCATCTTTTCTTTTTTTCTTTGTAATTCTTGAATAAACATGGGATGACCATATATATATATATATATATATATATATATATATATATATATATATATATATATATATATATATATA